TGTTTCTCTCTGATCCCATGGCCTCCTAGGGAGAGGAGTTGGTGAGTCCGTGTTTATGCCAGCTCCAGAGACTGAGCCATCATGTGCCTACCCTGCAGCAGGGCGCGAGGATCAAGGACAGCACAGGTATGGGAAGGGCTTTGAGAGATGAAAGACTTCCATGAGAAAGCCACATGGAGTAGAGTCATGGATGGAGACCTGGCTGGGGCTTGGGGACCTGTCCTACTAAGGATGGGCTGTGTGATCAGGGGCAGTCACTTAGGAATTTCTCTGGGCTTCAGCTTCCTTCTTGGCCTCTAAGGCCTCTGCTGTGTTGCTGTGTTTCAGGGTGACTTGGGTTACCTCCTGCAGAAGGCAACATAATGACTCCCAAAAACATCCATGGCCTAACCCTGGGGATCTGTGGAGATTTTCCTGGATTATCTAGGCAGACCCAATAGTCACTCAAGTCTTTAAAAGCAAGAACCTTGCCCAGTGGGGACAGAAAGCCGGCAAGCATGGACAAAGCTGCTACTTCATGGCTGCTTTAGAGATGGCTGGGGGCTCTGCAAGGACTTGAGGGGCCTCAGGAAGCTTGGATGGCTCCCTGCCAACACTCGGACATGAAGCAAGGCCCTCCAGGGCTCTAGAACTACATGCAATGAAATTCTGCTAACGACCATGCAATGAAATTCTGCTAACCATAAGCCAGGAAGTAGGTAGTCCCTTAGAAAGGGACATGTACATCCTACAGTGCTGACTTTGGCCTGCTGGGTCCCACACTGGCCTCTGGGACCTGTGGGGACATAGAATCTTTTGTGGCGCAGCTCTAAATTGCCAAATCAGCTGGATTTTGTTGTGGCAACCATAGGAGACTAAGCCTAGCTGCTGTGCCTTGTCTCACATGCCAAGTGCGCTGTCCGCATTGATGTTAACACAACTGCTGGGCAAAGCCTAGGTGGCAGATAAGCGCCACTGTGTAGGCAAGGGTCCCAAGGCTCTCAGGCTGGGCACAGCTCAGGTGGTTATGAGGGCTGAGGGTGTCCAGCTGGCGGGGCTATCTTTTTTCCCATCTGACATCCAGGGCAGCACAATGGGTGCGCATCCTGACTGGTCTTTCAATTCAGGTGGCCTAGAGGCCGTGTAAGCCCTGCCAGGCTGAGGCGTGGATGCTGTATGCCCAGCTTGCCCCATTTTTGCAGAAGGTAGCCTCTGGCCAACAATGTGCCTCAAGTACACATTGGTGTAATTATTCAGGCTCTGCCGCTTCCTGCCAGGGTGACCTTCAGCAAGTCACTGGCCTCTTGATACCTTGATTTCCTTTTATCTGCAGAGTGAGAGAACCACAGGATGTACCTGCTCACAGCATGAGGCTTCATCCGGGCCCTAGGCCAGCGCTGGGCACACAGCAAGCAGCTGGCAAACATGAGATATTTCTGCGGCTACGAGTGAATGTGGGCAATCACTACATCTTGAATGCCCACCTGTGCCAGGCACCCTGGGAGGCCGTAGGTGCATCAGCTGAAATCCTCACTGCAGCCCTGTATGGAGGGGAGGATGTGACCCATGAAGAAGAGGTGACCAGAGGCAAGCCAAATGCTCATCCTCGGCTGCATGCTGGGGGCAGCCAGATCTGGTTTGGCCACATTTGTGCTCCTGATTCCAGCCTCGGTACATGGCAGAGGTGGGGGCCGTGCAGAGCTTGCCTGGGTGACACTGGAAGGGCAGGATGGCGGTGTGGCTGAGCCGACACACACTGGGAGCCAGATTATTCCAGCTATGGGTGCTGAGTGTGGCTTCCCACCCGCTTCCTTGACCGGCAAGCACAGCTCAGCCTCCTTCCTTGGCTGTGAGCACCGCCCCTGCCCCAGTGTGGAAGGAGCTCTGGAAGGGAGCAGGGTGGCTCTAGGGTGTGTGATGGCTTTATGAAGTTGGAAGATAGCTCTGGCCTGGTGAGTGCCGAGGGATCATGAGCAAGGCCAGCCACACTTTGTCCTTCTAAGGCTATGAGCCAGACATTTACATATGAGGTTTTAGGTCTGTCGAAAACTGACCACTGACTCCGCTGTTTTCGAGCCTCACTTGGCAGCTCCGAAGCCCAACTCAGTCCGTGTTTTTCCCAGCCCATCTGCAAATGTTCACCGGCTGCTCACAGTGTGATGTCCCACTGGGACAGCCACGGTGAAGAAAAGCAGACCCGACACACACTGCTAAGTGCTGAAGGTGGAGGAGACAGGCAGGAACTCAGCGATCAAAGCTCTAAGGCTAAAATTTCAACCACGGGAACTTGAAGGCCACAGGGTTAGGGCTGGGGAGCGGTGTCTAAGTGAAGAATGTCAGCGAAATGCAATAAGGTCTGAAAGTACCATGAGGTGCGGGGGTGGGGGGCCAGCATGTGCAAAGATCCTGCGGCAGAGGAGCTGGTGTTTAGGGGTGGAAGGAACCCCTAACCTTGAGAGAGCCTGAGCTGACTGCTTATCCAGCAGGGAGGAGGGGACACACGGGACAGACTGAACACAACCCATACCTTGAGCCCCTGCCCAACCCAGAGCACTGGCTAGGGGGAGCCAAGCCTTAGCTGAGCCACAGCCTAGTGAGTTAAGAACACAAGTGTCTTGTAAATGACTGAGTTTTGGGTGTTTTTTTTTTTTTTTTTAATGCAGCACTATTACAGCAGCAATGGCTAATACCCTAAGGCAGTGATGGGGAACCTTTTAGAGCTTTCAGTGATAACAAACATCTGGCGGCAGCACGCAGGGCACAGGTCTGTCACCCCTGCACTAAGGCCACATGGCAAAGGGACAGCAAAGCTAGGACCCAAAGTGGGCCTCCTACTCCTACCCCAGGGCTTGTTCCTTGATGGTTCTTTGTCTTTCAGTCCAGAGGGCTCCTCTGAACTTCTCCTCCCTGGAGCCCTCTCACTCCCCTCCTCTGCCTCAACTCTGCTCTCTGGGGTATCCAGGTCTAGACAGGAGGGCCCCATCCCAGCAGCCCCTCGACCCTGCAGCTGGGAGGCTGAGGCATCTTAGCAGCCAGCTGATTCTCAAGGCTCCCCAAGGTTGCAGGGCAAACAGTCCTGGAGCCTCCTTTCTGCTTCCCCCCTACCCCTACCCCATCCCCGGGTGCAAAGAGCTGACTCCCTCTACCTGCCGGGAGCTGGGAGCTGCCCAGCTCAGAGCTTTGTCAAGCTGGAAAGATCTGCAGCTGGGGCTCTGTAATCTGCTTGGGGTCTTGGCCAACAGCTGTGACTTTCGGAGCTCTCTGCTCTGCTGCCTGAGTCAGCCCCCCTGAACCTCAGCCTCATGGGATCTCAGTGCACCCGTGGCCCCGAAAGAACTGCAGGCATGTGTCACAAGCTGTGTCTCAGCCACACACACCACCTGCATTGTCCCACACAAGCCAGACTGCTCAGCAGCCACACTCAGCTGCACGAAGTCATGGTCAGGCATACCTGTCCCCCACCAGCCCCCACATTCTTACACACACACAGACCCTGGGCTCCCAGCCACAGTGGCACTTTGCCCAAGCGATGGGGGGTAGTTAGATGTTAGGTGTTGATTCCCGCCTTGCACTGTTCCTGGCCTTGTGACTCAGCTTCTCTGAGTGTTGCTTGTGAAACTGGGACTTGGAGACCTTGGGAGGGCAGCGAGGTCAGTGTGGAAAGCACCTGCTGCCATGCCCTGCCTACACCCCTTCCCTTCCCGGGACCCCATTCTTTCTGCTTCTTTCTCAGTTCTATGATTTTGCAACTGCAGATCATGCCCTGACTCCTCCCAGGAGGCTTCCTGGCCTACCTCTACCTCTGCTTCCTGTACTGGTGCTGACTATGGCCCCATCTCACCTGAGGACAAGCTGGGTAGCTGCCCACTCGCTCCCCTCCCTGCTGCCTGGCTTCCCTTGCTCCTGGACTGTGCTCACGAAGAGGGATCAGCAAAGGTTGTTGAGAGAATAAGGGAGGGGTACATTCACAGTGCCAGTCACAAGATCTTCTATGCCTGGGTGCCACAATGTCCTTGGTAGCCTTATGTGGCCCTCAGGTGGGGAGCAGGGCTGGACTTGGCCATGGAGAGTTCTTGGGTGCACTGCAGGGCTGTGGTTATAAGAGAGACCACATGGAAGTGACAGAGGAGAGACTGGGCCACATGGAAGGAAAGCAGGTGGACCCCCACTGGAGGGGGTTATGGGGTCACAGGAAGGACCATGAGCAGTGAGTGCCAGGAGAAAAGATGGCTCTAGAATATAGCTGCTCCTGCTGAGCATCTGCTGGGGTTAGATGGGGTAGGGGTGGGGTGCTAAGGATGAAAGGAAGCTCTTATAGAAACTGCTGGATGGTCCCTCAAATTTGTCACTGCTTTCCACTGTGACAGAGGTTTAAGTCAGGCCAAGGAGAGATAACATCTTGGTAAGGCCACATGCACAAGGTCTGTCCCTCGGCTTGCACATGGACATGATGGGTGCTACTCCTGCCCACCTGCTGCCTGTGGCAAGATCAGCTGTACCATGTAGGTGAGGAGCAGCGGGGAGCTTGGGTCCCAGGTCCCTTTGGGGATCAGATCCCTTGCCTCCCTGGACTGCTCACCCTGGGACTCTTCCAAGAGAGAGAAATACATTTTTGCACTGAGTTATATTTTCACCCCTTTATTTTTTATTTGAGACAGGATCTCACTAAGTCACTATGTTGCCCAGGTTGGGCTTGAACTTGTGATGCTCTTGCCTCAGCCTCCCAGAGAGCTGGGATTATAGATGTGTGTATTCCCTTAGCTAACAAAGGCTGGGTCTTTTTCCTATTTCAGCTTAACTCTTACCTTTAGTACAGTGCCCTCATAGAAGGCAGCCATGGCTATAACCACCACTCCACTGGAGACCAAGACCCTCGGTCTTCCCACAGTGGTCATACATAAAGCATTTGGGTAAATAAAGCTGCTGCCCCCATGGCAGGAGTATCTCTCAAGGCTGGTGCGGACCACCTGTCCCAGCAGGACGCCCTGGTCCTCTGTCCCGCCCACACCTGCCCTGCTCACCTGCTTGGTTGGTGGTGATGTTCACAGAGGCGAACTGCGGCGAGAAAGGGCTCTGGTCAGTGACTCCGTTCACCGCCTGGATCTCGAAGGTGTACTGGGTGTGGGCTAGCAGGTCGCTGATGTAGATGCGTGGCTCGGTCAGCCCCAGCTGGCGGGGTGCGTACTGTACATTGTCGCCACAGCGGGTGCAGGCGCCCCGGCCTGAGCCGCAGCTCTTGCAGATGATGTTGTAGACCAGGTCCTCACGGCCTCCGGAGTCGCGGGGAGGGGTCCACTCCAGCACGAGGGAGGTCTCATTGACGCTGGAGATCACAGCCTGAGGGGCGGAGGGGATGGCTGGCGGGGGAGGGGGTAGGGGGAGGGCCAGGTTAGCACCCGAGAGAGCATCGTGTGCCCACCGCCTGGCTCCAGCCCAGCCTCCCAAAGATCTCCTCCAAATCCTCTCCTGTCCGCCCACCTGAGATGTTTTGAGAATGTGTTATCCTGCCTCGCATCTGCTTAAGTCTTTCCTTCCAGGCTTCAGCCTCAGTATTTGTGACTGGGCGGTCTTTTTGTGTTTGAGAGATAACTGTACAATAGCTATTCCCCCCTTTCCTGTTAACAAACGCCAATGTGACTCAGGACAACAACCTGTCCAGGGGAGAGACTACATTCCCCAGTCCTCTGGGACTAAATGCCGGCCACTGAAAGGCAGAAGTGGTTGCATAGGGCTGTCCCTTACATGGGGAGATAGATAACAGCAGCCTGTCCCCTTTGTCCTTTTTTCTCTTCCTGATCCCCTGAATGTGTGTGATGGCTGGAGCTTCAGCAGCCATGAGGGACTAGAAAGGGGTCTTAAGGATACAAGGCACATGCTCTGGAAGGCAGAAAGAGCCTGTCCTATAGGTCATTGTGACCTTATTGTCACATCCCAGTACTGCCTAACTCACACTGCTTTCATGTTAAGAGAACAAACCATAGAGTTTTAAGGGGTCAGCTTTGTGTGGTTTCTAGCTGAATGCCACTGCTGACTGGGACAGGGGAGTAATCCTGCCCTCCAAGCTACCCCCTTGTCTAGAAACCCTTGGCCTGGGATTCAGGTGGCTGGTGCCAGGTTGGACACCGGGCAGCCTTTTCTGCCACAGGCAGCACCTGCGCTGGCTCTTCTGCCAAACCTCCTGTTCCTGCTCCTTTGTGAGTGAAGACCTTGACGGTCTCCTCCACGTGATGCAGAGGGAGGCAGTGAGAACCAGATGCTGCACTACGCTGTTGGCATATTGGCAGCATTCGCCCCAGGGTTGCTTTTCCTCCCTCTCCCACCAGGCACTTGGCTACTCTCCCCTGGTCCGGAGCTCTCCTGCAGGTGGGTTTGGAGCCCAGGGACGTACTGGTACAGGGCATGTCCAGGGGGTCCAGGTCCGCTCTGTAGTAGCCGTTGCGGCAGACGCAGTTGGTGGCCCCCTCGGAAGTGGTGCGGCTGTTGATGGGGCAGTGTGTGCAGGCCTCATCGCCCTGGTTGGGCTTGAAGGTTCCAGAAGGGCAGCCTGGGAGAGAGGACAGGGAGGGTCACCAGGCAGTCGATGGAGAACAGAAGATCCTCCTCCCGGAAGGAGGGATTGTGCAGCCTTAGTGGCTGGGCAACTCCATCCCTGATGTTCAAGGGTCTCTAGACTTCAGAGGCCAGATCTGGCCCTACCCACAGGCTCTCAACCAGGAGACGATTTCACTACAGAAGAAAATCCCAGGGCTGCTAAGGACTTGCAGAGAGGTGATGTGCTAAGGTGACTGTCTCTGGAGTCAGGCAGGGACAGGTTCATGTCCTTTCTCAGCCTTTTACCCACTATGTGGCTCTAGATAGTGGCTTCATCACTCTGACTCTAAAATTCATTTCTGGAGGTGAGCATTTTCACGAATGTGTAAGGCACAGGACACGAACTCTTGTACACTCTTAGGTGCTCAGGGAATAGTGGTTGTGACACTGTTATGGTCTGAGTCTACTTGTTTCTCAAAAGCCTCGTTCAGTCAAGGGACAGACTTCTAGAGGTTGTGATTAATTCATAATCCTATGGGGGGATTACGGGTGTGAGTGCTGCTGGGATTATGGGGGTGAGTGCTCTACCCACCATGGGGCAGACAGCCTGGATGCAGTGTAAAGAAGGGAGAGAGGCTTTCTCTCTCTGCCTCTGCCACAGCAGCCACTGTTCCTCCCTTTGCTCTTTGCTGTTTTCTGTCACCATGAGCTGCTGTCCTCTGCCATGTGCCTGCCACTCTGCCTTGGAGCCAGCTGAGTATGGACTGAAACCTCTGCAAACTGTGAGCTAAATAAACCTTTCCTTTCTTAATTTTGGGTGTTGGATATATTGTCCCAGTAATGAGAGAAAAGTAATTGAGACAGTTAAACCAATTTTGTAAAATAAAGGGATCTACAATACTGGAACAACCTGAGGGGGTCGCATTCGCACTCGGCTGCATTTAGCATTCTGGTTTCCCCTGGAGGCTGTGGCCTTCATCCTCACTCTGGGCCTGGCCCTGTAGGACATAGGCTTAGGTTCTACTAGAAACAACTACCCTGAATGTGTGCATGTGTTTAAACCCTCCTTCCCCTTCCTGTTGGCCCTGGCTGGGGCTCAGGAGACTGAGGCGTAGGCCCTGCCTCTCTCCCAGATGACTGAGGTCAGTGTCCCAGCTCTGCTATGATGCCTTCCACTCTGGTGCCAGTGGGTAGGCAGGAAAGAGCTTTGGAGCACAAAATTCTCCATGGAATGGGGCACTGCTCACTCATCCACAGGCCGGGCCCTCCTCTGTCTTCGTTGGTGCCAGGAACATTGCTTGAGTTCAGAGCACTTTGCTCTCCTGCCAGTTACTTGTCTAGGGATCTCCTGACCACTCTCTCAGCTCCCCCAGGATGGGCACTGTCCCTGATTCACAGCCCCTGTAACCTGGTATTCAGCAGGCGGCCTGCAAACCCTTCTCGAAAGGCTTAACTGCCTAACTGGGAAGAGCACGGGCTTCACAGGACACACAGGCAGGACGGCATCAGCACAGTGGGTAATACACAGGCTACCTGGAAAGTCCCAGATCTCCTAGACCCGTGAAGTGGAAACTCTTTCCTCCTCTGGAGATGAGATAGTAGTATCTCCCTCTTAGGGGTGAATATTCCATTGGTTAGCTTCTGTAAGATGCTGAGAACAATTCTTGATAGTATTAAGCAACTATCTGGTTCAAAAGAAAGCTGCTGAGTGGCCTCAGATGAGTGGTAGAACTTCTCTGAGTGGCATGTCCTCACTGGTGAGAGAGCCCGCCCCTACTGTGAGAGGTGGCTTCCAGGATTATAAGGAACACAGAACCCAGCTCAGGGTGGAAAGGGAGCTGCAGCTCTGACCCTTGGTGCACAAGGTAGGCACTGGGTAAGGAGCCTTAGAGGGCAGCACCCCTCCCAGGCTCTACATCTGCTGCCTCCTGGAGGGAGCTTCCGGGAGGGAAGATGGCAACGAAGTCATGAACAGCTACCTTGACGGACGCCACTCTTGTCTCAGCCCTGGAGAAGGGAGGCAGGAGACAGGACTGTGACCCAGCCAAGCAGGCCCTAGTGACGATGCAAAGAAGCCTGCAGGGAGTTATTGTGGCCTCCATGGTAAAGACGCCTGGGCTCCAAGGAGGAGATATACATGTGGCCAGCATTTGCTGGTTACCCCAGAAGTGCTGTCTATCCTGAGGATTTTGATTGGATTGATACCTGGGAGCCTCAGTGACCCAGGCCGGAAGTCACCTGTCACTCCTGCAGTTAGCCGTGGGAACGAAAGCATAGAGAGGCAAAGCCACTTTCCCAGGATGTGTGATTATGGTAACGGGGCTGGTGTCGACCCCAGGGGCCCTGGTCATGTCTGTGCCCACTGCACCATACTACACTGCCACTAAGTGTTTCCTTTGCATCAACTGTGGGTAGCGCTCAGTAAATCCTGCTCCGGGCACTGAGCCAGGGCTCTCTCCACTTTGCAGCACTGATTCTGGGGTCCTGAGTCCTCCCTCACATCTCCTTCCTAGGACCTCCTCCCCTGCTTCCTGCTGCTGGTTGAAGGGGCAGCTGCCACTTGGCAATGTCCAGGGTTCCTAGGGCCGCCAACTCCTGTAGGCCACAGCCCTGACTCTCATTAACCATCATCCTCTCTGAGTTTGCATCCTCCTCTGTGGAAGGGGACACAGGGCCCCTGGGAAGGTCTAGAACCACCCTAATTTGTGCCAGAGGGTTCCAGACCCAAGATCAGGATGTTCCCGGCTCCTTCTCTGGAGGGTACAAGCCCCGCTCAGCGCCGGCTCCATCTCCCGACCATCCTGCGCCTGGCTGCTCACACCCTCTGCCCCTGGTGCCATGCCAGCTCCTCCATCTGGACCCTCTTTCCGACTGCCTCCCCTGTTAGCATGCCCCGGCCCCCTCTCAGGATCCCCAGGCCACCTCTGCCTAAGCAGTTCCTCATTGGCTCGCTGCCTGGCCACCCTGAAACATCCCATCGTTTCTGGATCTACGGCACTGAGCTCCTAAAACCTGCTGCTGGCAGGTGACTTCAGTCTCTACCTCATCACCAGGAACTGTGCTTCTACGCCATGCTCCCTCTCTCCTCCCACCCCCTGCAGTCAATCAATTACCAGGTCTTCCCTCCCCAGCAGGGTCCCATCCCCAACTCTTCTTGGCTGCCTCCCACCCCTGCGGGCATCTAGAAAGCTCTTCCCACCCACTCCTTAGCCTGGCAAGGCCATCTGTCTGCCTCCACCCACACTCCAGTCTGCTGTCTAAAGTGCAAACCTTTCCTTGCCACTTAAAAATGCATTTTGGTACAGAAGGGAATATTATTTGGCTGCAAAAAAGAAGAGAGTTTTTCCTTTTCCCACACGGGGGACCTTGAAAATCTTTGCTTGGTGGAAGGAGCCAGTCACAGAAGTATGATTCCATTTATAAGAAGTAGGTCCAGAAGACACATATCTGAAGGGACAGAAAGTCGATGTGTGTTTGCTTAGGCCGGGGAACCAGGGAGAATGGGCAATGCCTACTAATGGGCAGCAGGATTTCTTTGGGGTGACAAAAACATCCTAAAATTGATTGCGGAGGTGCCTGCACAATTCTGTGAATGCATTAAAACCCATTAAATCGTATGCTCTGAACAGGTGAACGGTGCGATACACAAAGTTGCTATTCAAAGCACCCGCAGGACTCCACATCAGGCAGGGAGCCTGAACTCTTCAGGGGCCCTGGGGCCCGTGGACTGCAAACCCATCTCTCAACTCCCTCACCCTTACCCTCACCCCCCACCCCTGGTGCTTGAATCTCTCATCTCCGCCCACGGAAGCTGTGGTGTGAGCTAGGGCCTTGGAGACCCGCCCCCCACTTCCCACTGGAGTGCACCAGACCGGACCCACACTACTCCTGGCTTCCTCGAGCTGGGCAGGCAGGCACCCATCCTGCTAGCCTCTGGGTCTCAGGCAGAAGCAGGAGGGCGATAGACCTGGGAAGCTGACCCGACAGATGTGTCGGTCCGCTTGGTCAGGCCTCCCCTCACTCTGAGACTCAGTCTCTCCATCTGGGAAAGCATAGATGAAACCTCCATGGTGCTGGTGACAGGAGCTTCTAAATGGGTCCCTGGGCCCCACCTTTGCTTCCATGGTCCTGGAGCAGCCTGCTGCTCACCAGTCAGAGCTGCTCACGCTGCTTAGACTCAGAGGCTCTCTCTGCACTCTGAATAATCCCACACACCTACCACTGCCCAAGAGGCCATGAAGTCACTGGTCTGGAGGGCCACTGGCCCACTTCCTGCCACCTTTGTCCCCCCCACTGGGCTCCAGCTTGTGAGCTATCAGGTGGCTTCTCACCTCTGGGCCTTTAGCCACTCTGTAGCCTCTGCTGGGACTTTCTCTGCTGCTCCCCCCATGATGGTTTGGTTTCTTCCTTCAGGCCAACTTAAATGTCACCTCCTCAGAGAGGCTGCCTGGTGAAAGTGACACCTGCCCTGGCTCACACCACAGTCAGCAATTACATGGGGAAACCTTTGTGTGCTGGCCTGGTGTCCTTCTCTGCCTGGCTACCTCTGGAGAAGAGGAGCATGACAGGGCTGGTGCTACTGGTGCCTAGCTCCTGGCAGAGAGGTGGGACCAGGAATCGCTCAGAGTGTATGGGAGGAATGAACCAACACCCCTTCCCAGATGTTTCAGGAAGCAGACGAGACAGTGGATGAGAAGACACTTGGTCAAGCGCAGGCCTGTTTGGGGGTCAGCAGCAGCATTTTGACCTCATCACGCTGCCTCTGATGCGCAGATCCTGCTTCAACTTCGTTTGTTCCCCCCAGAGGCTTCCTAGGGTCTCTTCACCAGGGTGACTGACTCATTCTAGAAGCTTCTTTGTCTTAGGCCAGTGGGAGGATTGGACAGACACCCCTCCAGCCCCATCTGCGGCCCCTCTCATCCAACATGCAGTTCCCTAGGCATCCCGGCTATGCTTACCACTCTTATTGCCCACCTCCTTTCTTTTGGTCTCTCAGGCCCAGCAGATTTGCAA